CAGCAAGTTTGGTAAAAGATTACGGGACGAGAGTAAAATTATTATCGACTCTTCTTGGAATGCATTGTAATAACTTCGTTTAATTAGTCTTCGAAACCGGCGTTCTTGGTCCTTATTTATAGCCGTAGTTTTACATAACCCGTTCCCATTCTGCAAAACAATAGCTTCTAACAAGCTACTTTCTTGTGAATGCAACGTATACAGCTTGAACGTGCTTCATTTGTAACTTTTATTTTCTGCACCATTTTGGTCGTAAGAGTAGATTAAAGCACTTTTCAGTATTTCAGGATACAAAGGAAGCGCGTTCTATGTGAAAATGTCAGTTTTAGTTATAGTAGGGGAGCTAACACGAAATCCACTGAACGAGAATGATCAAAATTTTAACCGATGGTGTTCCATTTCCAATTCTGAAAGGTTGTTTTTCGAAAAAATAAGTTATACACCAAATGAAAACGTTGATAATAGCTCTTAAAAAAATATTTAAAAAAATCGCGCGCATTTGATAACTGCGTAAAAAAATAATTCTTAGTCGGTTTTTCACGAATTTTCTACGGATATAACTAGGTTACGGTTGGACGAATGAAGCTGATTTTTTTTACAGACTGATGATAGGTACTACTAATGACTTAACGGTGTTTCGTTTTTACATTTTTTTTCTAATTACAAGATTATCTTATTATCTTAACATTATAAGATATCTTATAATTAGAGAAAAAATTTAAAAAAGAAACACTCTCATAGTCATTGGCTGTACCTATCATTAGTCTATAAAAAGAATCAGCTTCATTCATCCAACGGTAACCTAGTTATATCCGTAGAAAGTTCGTGAAAAACCGACTAAGAATTGTTTTTTACGGAGTTATCAAATGTGCGCGATTTTTTTAAATATTTTTTTAAGAGCTATTATCAACGTTTTCATTTGGTGTATAACTTATTTTCTCGAAAAACAACCTTGTAGAATTGGTACCACAAGAAGTACCCGCAGCGCCTTAAGTTGTATGACCTGAGACGGCAGACGATCGATTTTAGCATACTCTGATAGGGCAAAATGGAACTCCATCGGTTAAAATTTTGATCATTCTCGTTCAGTGGATTTCGTGCTAGCTCCCCTACTATTATAGAATGGGGTCTAATTCTGTATCGATAAGGCTTTTGCTTGAGGGACAAAAATCAGGAAAATACCGCGGATTAGTACACGGATGGCCAGCGATCATATTCTGTTCTATCAAAAGTGGTAAATTTGTAAAAAATAGAGGAAGGTGGCCTAATTTTGGATACTTTTTCTAAATTCAATTTTTTGAACCGGAAAAAATTTTTTTTATTTATTTTTTTGTACTCAGAAAGTGCTATTACTTTAATAAAAACACGTGATGCATACAAAACCGTTTATTTTACCCTTAAAAGGTATAAAAAATACGCCCAAATAAAAAATGACACTTTTTGAAATAAAAAAAAAGTATCCCAAAATTGGATACCCTATCCAATATTGGGAACCTATTTTTGTAAACAAAGATCGCAGACGTAAGCTCTTTTGTCACTACCAGCACAGTCTTCATGTGACCACCTGAAACAAATGGAACACTGTATCCAGTTTTCTCCGTTTTGGTCCTCTGAATAACGTGCAGTGCAGAAAATATACTCTGCATCACTTTCTTGATCGGGATCCATATCTGAGTCGTCTTCATAAGGAACATCTTTTGATGAGTCTGAGGAATCAACTTCTTCTTTCACTTTCTTTAGTTTTTTATTTTTGAAAACATTCTTTTTAGTTTGGTTTGAATTGTTTAATTCCTATTTTTGGATATCCAATTTTAAGACACCTTGCCTATCCAAAATTGGGCAACCTTCCTCCTGTTCAATGTTTGGTGAGTAAAATTTAAAAAATCTTTGACAGGAATGTTCAATTCAGATGCTGGTTTTCATTTTAACAATATTCTAGTACATGCATGCCAAATTTCACTTAAATACTTTTAATTCTTACCTTTTTATAACGGATTTTAACGGGAGAAACGAAAAACTCTGATTCACAAATAAACATGTGATTTTAAGGTACCGCCTAGTGGTGCACAACTGAACTATACCGTTTACACAGGATAATTTTTTGTTGGAAAACTATAGTTTTGTCCACTTAATTACAGAGAACTGTCAGTAGGTTTCGAGATAATCCAGTATCCAAAATTAGGCAACTTTCCTATAATGGTTACAAATTAAACAAACTGTTATTGAAGTTGTTTACAAATAAATAGAGAAAATACATATGGTTGTGTCCTAAGAATAGGCAATAAAAATACGTAGAGTATAATAAGAAACAATCTGAAATAACTGGAAAAATCTAAGAAACTAAAATTATTATAGAGGTATTGGTATACCATAGCTTCTTAATATTTGATTTTGGAGGTTGAAGTATAAGCTTGGTATTTTAAAAAAAATGGGTTCTTATGCTCCAAATCCCATAATAAGCATTATGTCATCTTCTGTACTGTGGGAATACAACGTTTCTGAATGAACCGTACATTGGATTTCAATTTATTACCCATACTCTCCTATAATTCGTGGGCCAGGAACGAAGCAAATGGTTCAATGATCACAGATGACCGTGTTGATTAATAAAACGCCATTTTGTGAGTGTTAATTCATTCAAAAAGAATATGTAGCCGCGAAGAATTGGAAAAATTGGCAACAAATAAAATTCACCTTTTTGCATTTATACGAAAACAAAACTGCATTGCAATATATTTATGACCTAGAACATAGCCCTGGAATCTTCGAGGGTAAGTCCATGGAAGAGTCTATTGAAAGTGAAGTTGAAAGCCGTTAGTTTATGGGGCCAACGGGGAGAAAAATTAAAAGGAACAAGGTTGTGTGGCTAAGGTCTTGGACTTCATTGACCCCTTACCTAATTTTTTCAAACTGTACGGAATTTAGTCTTTTAGAGAGTCTTTTAGTGCGTATGAAACAGAATTTCACATGCTTTCTTCTTAGAATAAAATATACAGAGTGCTCCGTGTCAAACATAAGGCTAGGTCCGATAACTTTCCTACTACGCCACGTATACTTGTTCGAAAACTGCAGGTTATTCAACGGCCATTATAAATGAAGTTTTGTAGTAACTAAGAAAATGTTCATTCCGAAATCGACAATTTTTGATTTTCCCCCGTATCTCTTAAGCAAGCGAATATTTTCAAATTTTGATTATACCATTTTAAGTTTAACCCAAAAGGAGAACATAATACCTACTACTAAGATTATATGTGATGAAGTTCTCAATTTTCTGGTTCTGCTAAGATTTAAAGTTTTGAATAGTAAAAGAACCACGATTGTGTTTTTTTTCAATCACCATTGACCAGGCGTTGCTCAATTGATTTTTCTCTTCATTTATTATGCTTAGTTGTAAAAGAAATATGCAATTTACTTAGAGCTCTTATGTCTTCTGGCATCTTATTGTAAAGTTTAACAGCAACATAAGTTTTAAGAGATTTTACTTCGTGGATATCGTAATTTTTTCAGCACTTTGTCCAGTACAGGAAACTTATTAAAATTTCTGTATGGCTTATCCATAAAGCGGTTGATGAGATTACGTAAGTTGACGATATGTGGATAAAGTAAGGAAAATTAAGTAGCTAATTCGATAAAGCGTTTATGTGTCAAATATTTTTTTGTTTAGGAGTTTAATAAATTTTTGAGTGCCTTCGGAGAAGTTTAATCTAGCTTTAGGGCATTTTTAGTATCAAACGGTGACCGATATGATCTCCGAGGAAATCTCTTAATAAAGATTATAGGTTTCTTATTATAAGCGTGAGCGAACCCCACAGACTATCGGTGGCGCAGCGGTAAATCTTAACATTAGTCCGGAGATCCGGTGGCGGAGACGACCACCACGACTAATTTCCCTTGAGTATCGTACTCAACTAACATCGTTCATACGATTCGGGAGCCAATCGATACAAACGCGTGTCATAAAAGGGTAGTGGGTAATCATACGATAATCGTCCTGAAAACTTGCTCGCTGCGTTCTTTGTTTTCTATGCATCGGCGTAAGCGATCTGGATCCGCGCCCTTTACACGGACGAATTGATTAATAATTTTCGTGAGTAGCGTCGTTTTGGGGGCCGAAAACACTCGTACTAAGTATATTCATAAAGTACCTAAATTAAATTGGGCCGTTACCTTACCAATTTGTATTCATTTACATAAATCTACATATTTAACAATCTCTCAGACAAGGAATGGAACTTAAGATTGTATCTTAAAGTATTCGGTTTTGCAATTCCAATTTGTTTGTACTTTCCTCAACTCTTAAATCATTTTCCGAGCGAAATTCTCATTTTAGACACCTCCTTCTATCAAGAACGAAAGAGGTTGTTTAAGAGAAATGCTTAAATTAAGGTGCTTCAAGTTTGATAGCGTTGTATTTTATTTATGCCATCTGTAATATAGAGCGACACTCTAATAGCATTAAAGAACTTGTATTAGCATCGCTAATGAAATAGAGCCTACTTTGCTTCTCTCTAAAGGTAATTGTATATTCATTAAGATGTGAAATCATGACAAGGGAATCACAAAAAACAAATTACTCCATACAGCAAACGTAGGTTCGCAAACTGTCAATAAAATGGCACTACTTGACTCGGAAATTAAGGGACTAGACCCACAAAGGAGCATCGTACTTCATATCCTCGCCAATAATGTGGAATTTTTCTGACTTTTATGTAAAGAACTATCACACAAAGTTGTTTAATGTTTTTAACCCTGTTTTTAATTTTAACGAACTGTTTATTTTAATAATTACAGAACAGGCCTGATAGTGTAAAGGCTTCGAGATTGATATGCTGTGAATTTTACATAACCTTTAACTCGATTTGATCAGTTTACTACTTGAGAACGTTATAATCAAATTGGAATTACCTTTTATTACTACCTGAACGTGATTTGTCTAAGCGTCAACAACATTAAGTTATAATTTACTACGTTTAGTAATTGCCAAGCTAATTAGAAAATGATAAATCGATAGGTATATAACACGGTTCAATCGGAATGAAGACGCAAGTTTTATTACAGTTTCCGACATAAAAACTACTACCTACTTAACAATGAAAGCCGTTTTCTATGTAAGTGAACTTTAATTTTGTAATAGTCTATAAGTAGTTGTTATTATCAAATTACAGATTGCGTTTGTTTTGGCACTGTTTGCTTTTGCTGCGGCCAATCCTTCTCCAAATCCGAACCCAATGCCAAATCCTCGTCCTCAGTATTGGAATTATGGGTATGGAATGCCGATGCCATACTACGGAATGGGTAATTTCTAAATTAAGGGACGATTTCCAATTATAGTAAATTGAAATTTTTTCAGGTTATGGGTATTATTTCTAGAGCGATGATGTTTTTTATATTTGACAAATAAACTTGTTGCACATTTAAATTTATTTCTTGTTTCTTGTTTTTGCAATGCTAAGTAAGAAATTTGCATCCGCAATTGAAGTTCTATGAAATCATATGAATTGTAGACATTGCGGTACTATGGTATAAAATAATCAAATCAAACTTCGGAATGGTAGTAGGAAACGTAATCGATAGCCATTTCTGTTCTTTCAGTCATTTGTAATTGCTTTGCTAACTCATAATCCAAACGAGTTATTTGTATTTCGTCTGAATAAATTTAAATTCTAGTGAGTGAGAAGCGGAAAACGCTTAATAAACTGGAATGGAAACTTTTTACAACGTCCGTTTTGTAAAAATGTAAATAAATAGCACTCATCCATTACACAACTTCCCATCTCACTTATAATTCACTAATTCGCTGATTTACAGATCAGCGTTTTCATTTCGCATATTTTTATGCATAAATAACATTCGCCATATGACAGGAATTTATAGCAAGATGTGTAAAAACCGCATCCGGTAATGTAACTATAAATTAATGTTAGTGGCGCCAATATCAGCCCTAAAAACTAATTCCCCAGTAATTGAACCTGACCAGCGTGTATTTTAATTTCTTCGCCGCAATTTGCGTACGGGAATTGATCGAGATTGATTTATTACACTGGATAATATCGAACATCCTACAAACGTGTGTTCGCATATATCACGGTTTACATACCTACACCGATATGTATGACGCTCTTTCTATTGCAGTACTTTGGAGATTTTTGATTAATGAAATCTGTACACGTATTGATTTATGTCATTCGTTAAATGATGACCTCTTCTAAATTATACCACTTACATTGGATTCTAATAAAGGATTGGTTGGCGGCTTTCCATACTATGTGTAAGTGGATAAATAGTGTCTGTGGCAGATGAAGATACATCAAGTTAGACAACTGGGAAAATACTAATATTAAAAATGATATATCAAAATTGGATTGACCAATAAAGTTACATATGCAGAGTAACTCAACAACGACCAACCATGGATTTTTTTTTGCTATTTCGGGATCTATGCCCATTTAGCAACATTTTCAGTAATTTATTCTTTTACTCTATAGGAATTACACAGGACACACTCTTCTCGCCAAGAGGTCTATCATGGCATTTTTTTAATTTAACAATACAGGTAGCGACCTTGAATTTGTAAAGGAGGGGGAGGGTAAGACAGGTTCAATACAGAGGATACATCATACAAATCCATGCACGCACACACCCTTAAATATTTAACCCAGTATTAGCTACGTATTCAATTACTATATCATAAATGCGTCTACAATTGGAAACTCAGTAGAGCAACGATGTTGATGGGAAAATGAACACCACTTTCTGTTAACCGTGCACTCATCTGATCAATGAAGGGCCTTCTCAGTTCGCAGTTAAAAAATATGTGATTCAAATCACCAGTCTCGAATCCACAATCACACTCTGGCGAGTCTAAAACCCCGATCTTATACAAAGGAGATGGAAACCTCCCATGCTCAAATTTAAGACGTGCAATTGTCGAAAAGTATCTTTTTGGGGTATACTTATCAGAATACCATGGTCTAAACTTAACCGTTGGGTGGATTAAAGCATACTGTGTTTGTCTTTCTTTATGATACTCCTTCCAATAGATATCCCAGTCTTCAACTATGTTACTTTTGAGAACATTCAGAAGGTCTGTTCTTGGTGTGGTATTCTCGAGACTGATCCCCTCTTCTACAGCCTGTTTAGCCAATTCGTCTACCAGTTCGTTTGCTTGTATACCTGCATGTCCTTTGGTCCAGTAAAACGCAACAGTATGTCCTTTCTTTATAATGTTAAATGCCTCTGCTCTAATAGCTGTAATTAAAGGATGGGTTTGAAAATAATGGACCCTTTTATTGATAGTGCCCAGGACACTCTTACTATCTGACATTATGGCCAGGTTCTTTGCTACATTACGGTTATAAAAGTATTTTAATGCTTCTAATATTGCAGTCGCTTCAGCTGTAAATATAGATTTGACCTTTCCAAGAGTAAATAACTTTAAATATTTAGTCGATAGCTCGTAAAATGCACATTCAACTCCCACCCATAAAATAGTTGCGCATCATATCTAAAATCCCCTAGGTATATAACTAGGGAAGTACGTTGGCAGACTTCCGACGTAAAGATCGTGGTAGGAAGCGTCCGGAATTTCTTGTATCCAAAGAGAAATTTTTAATTCGTGAAGGTAAAGGCTTGCCACGGAAAGCGGAGCTTTTTATACCAAAAAGCCGAGGTTAAATCGTGGGACATAAGCTCTTGTAGCGAGTTGTAAATATTTTCCAGTTTTAAGGAGATTGTTTTCGTAACATATTTTAAAGCCAAATACTTTATTCGAAACTCGAGTGGTGGTTCACGTGCTTCCACATACAATGCTTCTACAGGAGTTGACTTCATAGCCTTAAGGCTTTATTTTGAATGACTATGACTCTTTTTAGATTTGGTTTTGATGCTGCTCCATATAAGTGCAAACCATAATCTATTATGCTTCTTGTAAGTGCTTTATAAACCTTTAATGCAGTTGGAAAATTCATTCCCCATCCCACTCTAGTCAATAATCTTAAAATATTCAGGGATTTCTCACATTTTTAAGTTAGCATGTGTATATTATGTTATCAAAAATCTCTAAACCTTCCCCATATAGTTTTATTCGTTGAAGTTTTTAAAAATAACAGCGACTATAGTTTCGGCGTACTGCCATCATCAGGCGACTAGAAGTGTATCACAATATAGCAAATTTGAAAACATTAAGAGCTAGTACTTACTGTGAAAGTTAACAGGAAAACGGTAAATTACAAACGTTGAAGACGATAAGACTTCTAGTCGCCTGATGATGGCAGTACGCCGAAACTATAGTCGCTGTTATTTTTAAAAACTTCAACGAATAAAACTATATGGGGAAGGTTTAGAGATTTTTGATAACATAATATATTTCAACCCCCATTTCGAGGAACGATGGATCCAACTCAAAATTAGCATGTGTATATGTTCCGTCCAGCTTAGTTTGTAATCTAATCTGATCCCTAAGTATGTAACACTTTTAACGACCTGAAATAGTGTATTATCTAAAACCACAGGGTTCAAATTATATCGCCTTTTCCGTGAAAAGAATACGATTGCAGATTTTTCAATACACATATCCAAACCATTGCTTAACTTTCCGAATGGCTTTACTTAAACGCTCCTTGACCACAGATACATTCTTATGTGACGTGTAAATAATAAAATCATCAGCGTATTGAATTACACTGATGCTGTCATCCTCTGCACAGTCAAGAAGTCGTGCGTATACAAATTAAACAGCATTAGGGCCTAGCCTAGGGCCTAGGGCCTATAAATTGACCTTTGCCACTTCTTATATAAATCTCTCGATGAGAGTACAAACCGATCAGGTTTTGCGCTAGTTGGTTCGGGAATTCCAATTTAATGAGTTTCTTCTGCAAAATGTCTAATTTCACACATCCGTAAGCGTCCTTGAAATCGATAAAAACCGCTCCTACTGTTTCTTTTTTGGAATAACTTATTTGTATGTCGGAAACTAGTTTTGTTAAAGCATCAGCGGTGCCTAATCCTCGCTTAAATCCAAATTGAAATGACTGTAGCTTTTTCGTCCTTTCCAACCACCATTCAATCCTATTCTTGACCATTCGCTCTAATGTTTTAAATATACACGACAAAAGTGATATAGGCCTATATGATTTTGCATCTTTTGGGTTTTTATTGGGCTTAATTATTGGGACAACAATGATTTTTTTAAAGGTGGGCACGCTATCACCAAACAGGTACACTCTATTAAATGCAGTTACCAATAATTCCTTCGCCACGGTGGGCAGCCACTTTAATAGCGGATATGTAATATTATCAAAACCTGGTGCTGTATTCTTAACTGATTTGATTGCCTTGATGAGTTCTTCAATTGAAAATGGTTGTTGTAAAAAAGGATCGTTTACGTTTGACGTTTCCTGGTTTTTTTCTGATTGCACATACGCCGGGGCTAAATTGTCAGCGAATTCTTCGATATATGACTCCGATACGTGGTGAGAGGTAGGACATCTTTTAAATTTTTTCACGATATTCCATAATTTCTTTGAGAACGTAGATGAGTTTAAGTTATTACATAGATTTTGGAAACTGTCGCGTTTTTTGTATTTCAAAAATCTTTTGGAGTGTGCAATAGTCTCTTGACAAGTAATGAAATTATCTAAGGTTGGATTTAACTTGTAATTCTTTACCGCAAGTTTCCGGCAGTGTACCACATGAGAACCATGGATTTCCAATCCTCTTTCGATGTTGTGTAGCATTTTTCAGTTCAAAACATTTTTATTTATTTTTATTTAAATGATTCGCAAGGACGACTTTAATCGGCTGCAATAAAAAATGTTAGCAAACGTTTAGGTTTTGCAGCCGCAACCTGTTTTTTTACTTCATTTGCTATCATGCGAAGATTTCCTTCCTGCAATTTCTGGCAAGAAGCCCTATTATATTCCCTATATTTTCCTCCTGGGTATAGCGGTTCTTTTACATAATCCTAGGTTCATTTTTCCTATTTAATAGGTCTTCTAAGAAATATCAGTATCGGGCGGGACGCTTTTGTTAAACTATTATCAGTATTTAATATTCATTTTAATCACCAACCTAGAATAACACATTAAACAGTGAATTTTGAGTAAAACTATAAGATACTCGAACTTTCCTTAGATTGCAAGCACGTCATCAATTCTTTTTTTGTTGTTGTTTTTGTTCTGTTGTGCGCGGGTGCACCATCCTGTTATAACCAACAATTTCCAACTTTCTTTTTTTTTTGTATGTGCTGTACATTTATGTATTCGTAATAAAAACATGCTACTCAATCCAGTATGTACTTTTTACGGGCCATATAAAAAATAAAGTTGACGATTTCTCATATGCTAAATCATTCATCATTCATTTTGTAGTTCAATTCCAAAATTAAACTAAAACATGCGATGTTTCGGTAAACCACGTATTAAAA